TGACCATGCCCCAGGCACGTCTTGTGAGCTTGATGTTTCCCTGATGGATCTTAAGCACGGTGCAGTGTTGGCACGCGCGTTTTCAACCGACTGCAGGTGCCGTGGTTTGGAGAACTTCGGCGCATAGCCGCCACAAGTTCGACGGCAGCTTGCCACATACCTTGCAGGATTGCCGGCGTAAGCGCCTCTCGGGATCAAATACTGGGGAAGCGGCTCGACTCCTCGCAAGCTCGCAGCACCGCCCTCCAGGTGTTTGCGTCAGGCCTGTCGTCAGGCCAAGTCTACTGGCCTCTCAATGCTGCCCATTCAGCTACACGCTTCGTTCTGGAGAGCATTATTGGGGCTGCGTCCACCGGAAATAGAGGACAATGGATATGATATGACGATGGTCGCCGTAGTCGCTGTTACTGTTGCTGATCCTCCATAGTTCTAGAACTATACAGTGGCAGGTAGCAGGTCGCCTGCGGCGAGATTCAACCCCGGTAAACCCCTCCTCCAACATTGTCTGAATTGGGCTTCACACTCTGTTGTGGTCATATCAGATCTCGCCACTCGGACACAGAAAGTTTACCGGTGTAGCACTTACCTCCAGCTAAACCACAGAAGGATTACGGCTGAGACATATCTCAGTCTGACCCAATCTCAGAATAGAAACGGACATACTGGGGCAGCCTCAACAAGCATAAGCCGCACAAGTTCGGCTTGAACCAGTTACCGCACTTTGCCATGGTTCGCCTTTCCCTCCAGTTCAGCTGACAGTTTCTACGAAGCAACCCTTCAGGCTCTTGATGAGCCTGCTTAGGCACTGAACTGCTCGTGAAACTCCAACCTGTGCCGCCTTCGGGCAATCTGAGACTCTGGCATCAACTGCTGATCACAAAGTTCGTCCAGAAGAGCAATTGCCTGCGCTGTCTCTGCAGGATCACAGAGCTCTTGACCAGCTCTTGTCTTCCAGGCCCTGCCCGTCTGCAATAGATGATTGCCACCGAAGCTCGAAGTTCCCCACGAGATTACAAAACGGAGGCCTCTTCCCAACTGCCGCTGCGCTCGAAGCTGGCAAACCTGGGAAACAAACACCAACGTAGCTTGGATTCAGAAGTCTACAGCGAGGATCCAAAGTGCGAATCTCTGCGAGTCTGAGCCTGTCACAGCTTCTCGTAAACCACAACCTACAGCAGTACTCGACTGAGTCAAACTGATTCCAGCTAGATTGGTCTCTTTGCGTTTGACGTCTCTGATCTGCTCTAACCTTGCCGGCTTCACCTCTTTTGAGCACAGGCATTAAGCTGGGGACATTGGGTGACAATCGTGCCGAACGCAGATCACCGAGCAGCGCAACTGCCTTGCAAGCCACGAGCACACAGCAAACCTTTTCACATCGCTTCGTGCAGATCGCCTGCAGCCATTGTGTCGCTGATGCACATGCATCAATGGCCGCCCCGTATGCCACGATGTCTGGCCTGCGCAACAACCAATACCTGTTTGACCGCAACAGTTGTGGCTGCCCGATGCAACGACACGGTCCAGCCCACTCCCTTTCCTGCAGGCTGGTTGAGTCTGCCTCTGCAGTGACTCCTAGAGGCTGCAAATGCACATCATCAACAAGCTCTCACCCCACATTGAATGCTCATGACTTGAAAACAACGGCCAGATTGATCACGAAAGAGGGAAGGCACAGCATTCAGCGAGTTTGGGGCTCACGTCTTGTTCGAAAGCTGCCATAATGCGACGGAGGCGGCTCAAGGCATAACACTCAATTGGCGGCTGGAGGGTTGGTAAATGGACTACACATTGATACGAGTTTTGTACGGGTTCAGCAACGCTTTTTTTGTGTAGTGAAGCAGTGGGTCAAGTTCGCAAATCAGGCTCCAACATGCCCAAGCTTGTGGGGTGGCGGGGTTCAAGCGATAGTCATGTGGAGAGGTCAGGTGGCCCTGCCCAGACGCGAGTGTGTTCAGAGTTTCTATGTTGCTATCTGCACACCAGTCCGGTAGTGTGCATTTCACTTAAGACAATTGAACATGCTCTCAACCCCTGAGAGCGAACGAGCGCGTGAGAGAGGGGTTCACCGTGCAAGCTCGTGCGCTTGCAACCGAATCTTGGCTATGTCGCTTCGCTTTCCAGTGGTCGGCAGCCCTAAGACCTTGGACCCTCTTGGCCAGAAGGGTTGGACCCCTGCCCACAGCCCAGGTTGTCAACGAATTTGCAGCGAGGAGGCACCTATTGGGCGCAACAGGAGTCAACAGCTGCACAAGCTGCTGCCATGCAAAGTAAATGTGAATACGAGAACATGAAAAGGAACAGAAAACAGAGAGAGAGAGAGAGAGACCACATATGCATGTTCAATACACCGTATACAGCATGTATGTATACTTCCCGTCGGCTTCAATGTGCGCACCCATGCAGTTCCATAGCGTCTCTTCAGCACTTCGTGTGAGAGCCTCAAGCTTCGGCGCGGCAGCTCTGCGAGGAGTTGGACAGTCCGGGCCTAAGTGCAAGTTTGTGTGCAGTTTCTATTTCTCCTGATCAATCGTTGGACTGTTGCGCCATGCTTTGTGGGTTGCTTGAGAAGGAGCTGAAGACAAACCCGTTTCAGTCAGCTTATTTCGGCATACTGCAACGAAGCCATCCTGAGCAGCAAACCCACTGGTAGGAGACACCGCAAGCGCCTCGTTGCTCTTGAATCTGTTGAAACACTGCGTGTGTGCTAAGCCAACTTCACTGCATCTCAGGGTCACACCCATGATGCTGCTCAACATGACAAGGTCAGGCCTGCTTGCGATGCTTCAGGAGTCAGTTGTGTCAGTTGGATCCTTGGACTTGTACTGTAGGGCGCTGATCGTCTGGCCGCTTCGCACATGGAATTCATGGCAAGACTGCTCGGTTGAACCAGGTGCCGTTGTCCAGCCCATCGAATCTACAGGGAGTTCCATCCGGCTTGGGGGCCGGAGAGTTAACTCCCTTCACAATACTCGCAGCCGGTACAGTGAATCTCGAAAGCCGCGACAAGCGTTGCTCTGAGCAGTTGCTCGTATATAACATCTCGTGATCCATGGGTGGCTTGTAAATGTTGTCGAAATGGATCGAATCGACAGCGTAAGAGCAGCGAGCACATGGCTGCAGCCTGCAGCAAAACAAAGCAGACGCAACACGTGGCGGAAGCACGAATGGAATTGGCGTTCATGCCTGCACAGGCACAGGCGCACGAACGAAATCGGAATTTCAAAGCTCCTCTCAGCCGACGCCTGCTCAGCATTTCCAGAGCCAGGGCCCACTGCCTCGACATCATATGCAATGGTGCGTTGAACTGAGCCGACCGGTTCACCTGTGCATCTATGGAACCCAATCCTACCATTGACAGTGTCCGCATTGTATAGGACCTCGGATAGGATCTCACTGATCTCACTCGCTGAGCCAGCTGCAGGATGACTGCAAAGCCGAGGAACTCTGCTCGAAGACTTCTCACTTCGCAAACTTAAGGTAGTCTCTTTGACAGCGGAGAAAGAGAAACGATGTCAGTTGTATTACAAGTTTTAAGTATATACTATCTGTACTATACTACAACATACTGCATAGTAGGATGCTCTTCGAAGGCAGGCCTGCCGTGCTCGGCGGCTTTGATCAAGGCCTGTCGGTGCTCAGACCAGTGCAAGGTGAGAGCTCGCCGCATCGACACGGGAGTAAGGCTAAGGTCAAGGCACTGCAGGTGAACTTGTTTTGCTCGACACCGTCCTTTTATATTCAGATGAACGCCTAACGCAAGTATGTCTTGGCTGCTTCCGGGCTTTCCAACGCGCCTCGGCCATTTGCTCGGCCAGTCGAAAAGCGGCCTCCCAGCCTTCCCCTGCCAAGGCTTTCGATGTCTAGATTGAAGGTGATCAGGCCGATAAGGGAAACATTAAAAAGTCCGATGAATACTTCTTATGATCTTACAAGACGACAGATAAACAATAGTAGCTTGACAGGAACAATCGGCGACCTCATAGTGCCTGCAAGCGAGGGGCCTTCAGAGCAAGCGCTTATAGCAGCACCGTAGGCCACCACATCAGGTTGCACAGCCTCCGCATCAGGCAAGATTAGGAGAGGACAAACCAGCAAATGGTGTTTGGATCGATCGTGCTGATGCCGCTCAACTTCCCCAAGCTCCGTACCCAGTCAGTCTGGGAAGATTGCACCAAGTGCAGTGCTAAAAGCCACTGCCGTGATCGCCTGCCACGACATCGGCCGACATCCCGGCATTTGCGTGCCCAAGATGATCACAATGAAATTGTACAGTACTGGTGTATTTGCTTGAGTCACGATCAGTACGATGCGCACCGCTGCTCTTGACATGAGTACGTGTCTTACGGGAGCTGATGTCGTTGGCCTTGACCGACAAAACGTGCTCACACCGCAAACAATGCCGGGCGGGCTGGCAGGCGGCGAGGCCTCAGGATTCAGGATGACAGGATGACTGCCGCTGTATGCCAGGCTTCTTGGTAGCTGTAGTCTGCCTTCTGTTGAATCTGCGCACTGTCAAGAAGCGGAACAACATCGAAGCTGTGGAACCGGCAGGCACCGAGGGTAAATACCTCGGTGTCAGCGTGCAGCATATTGCAAACTTCAACTGCAGTCCACAGAAGCTCAGCCAAACACATCGGGCTTCAAGCTTTGGCTTAGATCTGCCACCAGTGCAAGGGCCGTCTCCTCTCGCCAACGACAAAGTCTGCACGTGCACTCTCTCTCTCTCTCTCTCCCGGGCATGGGGACGGGTCAACGTCCCCGGGCGCCAGGCCCACCCAACGTGTTGTTGGGCTACGTGAGTGTAGACGCCACTCTCGACTCTCTCTGTCTCTCTTCTCGCAGAGTTGTACTGGCCACCGCCAAGTCGGGAGCTGACGCTTGCAAGTCGGTCCCAGGCGGAAGCACGCTCACAGCTGGAGACAAGCGCGTTGTAGGCGATCAGGTCCTGCACGATAGCACGCGTCCGGCATGGCACTTGCAGCGCATGCGCGCATGCTTCAAGAAAATGCAGGATGGGTGCAAGCAGCGTCCGGACCAGGGAACCTCGTTCGGAGAGCAGGGCTCAAAATCACTGTGCGACCATCTGTGCTATGCGACTGCCTGATTCGCAAACAACGACTGTTGTTCGATGACTCTGCTGCAACTACCAGACTTCATCTGCATCGGCTGATGACTGTTTTGACTTTTTCCACCCGCACTTCATCAAAATGCCTACCTCCGGAGCGATTCGTCACGTTCTCTCTGAATCTCTCTGACAGGCATGGACCGATCATCTCTGAGCACCAGGCGGTGCATCCGGATCCTTCATGGCAGCCATGATGGCCAAGGCCTCCAGCAATTCTATCAAGTTGAGTCGGCCGTTGTGCTCCGTGCAATGTCCGCTGGTGCCTTCTCCCAAGAAAAGCCTCGACAGCAAGAACTCATCGCTGCAGTGCAGGTCGCAACATTGGGCCTCTGCTTCCCGAAACATCGATACATTGGTGTCAGGCTGATGTACGTCACGCAAAGGTTGAATCTGAGGGTCTGAGCTGTTCACTGCAAGTTCGGGCTCTCAACGACTGCCGTCAGCCTGCGTGGCACACTTCGTGTGGATGTGAGAAGCTCTATAGCTAGCCTAAAGCCACTGCCACGCTGCGTTGCGCACTCTTGCTGCAAACCCTCGGGCAGCAGCAGATTCAGTGCTCCTTCCCATTGGAAGCCTCAGACTCAGAACAAAAGGCTTGACAGAGTGCTGCATTCGATGGCGGCCGGCAAAACATGACTTGGCACGCAAAAGATGCCAAGAAATTTGCCTTTTTCGCAGGCCGAGATGGCTATGTTGAAGGTCACGACCTGGTGCTTTTGGTATGCAGCAGCCGGCAATTCATCCATAAGTGCGAGCTTGCTTGGTACAGGTGACAAGTGCCGGACGGTTGGAGGGAGCTTGCCATGGAAGGCCTGGGACAAGTCGGGTTTCCATGGACAGGGAGGCCCTGCCAGAGTCAGGTCAGGTCCTTCCTTGCCTGGTGCAGCACGGACAAAGCTTCGGCCCAGTGCCTAATTTGGGTTTTTCAGGGGTGCCTCCACTCTTTTAGAGTCGACCTGCAGTCTGGCCGAGGCTTCAAGGCTCCGACCCGCTTTTGAGGCAAGCCGCAGCCGTCGTGTTGTGCGCCACTGCGTCTGGAAGGACCTCCCCATGTCAAAAATTGAGCTCTAGCTACAATCGAGAAATGCTTGTCAGACCTTTGGCACTTTACAGATCGAACCGGCTCAAGCAAGGCCCTGAATATTGTCAGGCGTTTTTCTCTGAACGCAACACAACGAAGCCAGCGCAATCGTCAACATCTGCACGCAAGAATGGCGTGCATTCCTATGAGCACCGTCGAACGTCTGTGTCAGTTGGAGCAGCTACGAACCCAGTTCGTCTCAGCCTTGAGGGAGGGCATGCGCTCGAAGAGTTGTAGTGCCCATGTCCACTGGCTGGCCTGAACGAAAAATAGGCTCAAGCAACACCTTCAAATCCTGCTGCTTCGCTGACTTTGCAGACGTGCAGATAATGGCAAGCAAACGCGATAACGATAACGGCATCAGTGACAGGGATGGACACATCATTCAACATCATTCCAAGACTTTTGGCATAAACTATATGCATACTATATGTGTGACCCTACCTTGTGAAATGCCGCCAGCGCAGCCGACACCGTCCCATTGGAAATGTCATGGCATGCGGCTTCCGACAGAACGGACAGTGCAGCCGCCCAAGCACTCCGCCGTCCAAGGTCCTGCATCGCTATTGACTTGGGCGTATGTTTGCTCATGCCGCCCTGGTTAGTAGATGGCTTCTTGCCCCAACACGGACGTTGTCTGAACAATGGGTTACACATCACCAGGACGATGCCCCACCGCTCCCACTCAGACATCAGTGTTGGCCACAGCACACCGCTCGGCCTTGATGAGAGCTGTGTAACCACGCTGGATTTCGACATTTCGCAACTGCCATACTGTCGCCTCGGTACTGAGCGTTCAGTGCATAGCGACTCCCTACACAGGGCTGACAAGCTGAAGCCCGCGCCGACGTCGCAAAATGCCTTCGCAGCCACCGATGCAGTCTGCGATAGGCAACATACATTCAATTTCAATTCAAGGTGCCAAAAGTCCGATCATGACTCTTCATGGGGTCACTGCGAATGCCAGTCTACCCTGCCTCTTACAGTTCTAACTATCTACTTCAAGCCATGATGGTGCATGAGTGCTCAAGCATCCAAACTGACCCTGGCTTGCATTTCGCTTGATCTCTTGTTTCCTATGTTGTGGCGAGGTTGCTGCAACCACATGGATGCTTCGAGAGCGGCCGCTAGCGGGGGCGCGGTCAGCCGACTGCGGTCAGTGGCAATTCCAAGATCAGGCAAGTGACGGGCTAGGGCCCGAAACCTGAGTGGCAAATCTGGGCATGTGCATGCCTTGTATCGCGAACTTAATGCACAACTTTATGCGACCGTATGCGCGTTTATGTTCCTGGCGTTTTCGAGCAAACTCGTGTCGCGGCCAGCACGTTTGGAGTAGCGAAGGGTACACAAGCAGCCGTCCAGCTCAGCATTGCAAGCTGGACCTGCAAAAAGAAGCCATCGACAACACCGTGTATCCAGTAGAGGACCGAACTATCTGTGGTAGGAGTATCCTCTCATAGACACGACCCGGCTCTTGTCGAAAATCACATACTCCTGGCCGTATGGATCAGGCTGAAAGTTGATCGAGTCGTAGCCTTGCCTGTGAAGCCAGCTCCCCCTGTTTGTTCTGTCTTGGCATTTGGCAAAAGGATGATGGTTGCAACTCGGACTGGTGGTGCAATGCCACGGCATGTGCTTCACCCTCCCAACATCAACTTTAGCTTCGATCATGTAGCCGCCATGAGAGTCCGGACCTTTGATCTTCTGTGATGTTGCTGCGGCACTCATTGCAAAATAAATCCCGGCACCACACCAACCAACGTGCCCGGCCCTGAAGCCATGCTTGAGAATACTCTTTCCGGCACTGTGACTCGTTTGATGGTACAGTGTGAGAACCCACCTTTGGCTCGTACTGTTGTACTCTGCCTCCTGGGTACCTGCTTCCTCTGAAGCGGTACGCTCAATCTGCAGCGCATTCAGCGCACATTGAGCAGACTCAGAGCTGGAAGGACTCTGGCACTCATCGTCTTGCAAGAGAGCTTCCGCCTGTGGTGGGGACGAGCTGTCAAGTCCCACAGACGAAGCACTGTGGAGAGCTTGGAGGAGCAGCAGCACCGCGAACATGTACGAAGCACAAGGGTCAGGCAAAGCCTTCCGGTAGGCGGCCTCACCAAAGTCCTCCAATGCTTGGGCATCAACGCTGCCATGAACAGTACAAGGTTCTACGTTCTGCTCTATGCACGCCAGAAAGCTGCTACCTCTCAAACTGCAAGCTAAGAATGGTTTTTGGGCGCAGAGCTTGTGACCTCATCTGCAAGACGTCGCTAGCATCGAGCTGCTATGTGCAGCGAAGACCCAAATGCAGTTCAGCACTCTGCCTTTCTTGCAGAGCAGGCTGAAGGGTCGCATGTATAAACAACTTGACTAGGACAACCAAACCCAGTCAACAGCACGTGCATGTCTGCAGAACGCGCGTTCTGCAAATGAATGCATTTGCGGCACTCAGGCCCGAGATCATGTCATTCAATGTGAAAATATTTCCGTAGCTTGCAATCTATCCCTTCAACTTGCGAGCCATGAGTGAAAATCTCCAGCACCCAGTGAGGCATTGACAGCATTTTACACCTTATATCATGTTAGACTTCATTCATGTTCATTCCCAAAGCCGTCAAGGCCACTGACATTATCCCCTACTGCCCTCTTGGAGGTGCAGCACTTTGCTCTTATCGGGCTCAGTCGTCTGCAGCAACCTCGCACAGCGGCGGCCATTTACGCAAAACAGGCAAACGTGCGCCCACTTCAGGTGAGAGTCCTCTGGCTCCTCGGAGATCTGAACCTCAATGCGCCCAGAAAACTCGATTTACATACCAGTGAACGGTGGCAAACACATCTGAGAAAAAGTCGGTTCTTTGCTTCGCCATGCGCCTTGGCAGGGCAGCCGTCATCGTGTAAGGACGATGGGTGCTGGATTTCCCACAGACTGAGCGCAGGACGCTCGGCCCACAGCTACAGAAGCCCTCGCAGGACGCAGCTCACATCACTTGCTGAGGCTTCAAGCTCAAACAGCGCTTTCCCACATGTTTTAACCTCGGTCTGTCATGGCCATGCCGTGGCCCAGCCCTGGAGAGAACAGCATCCCGAACAACTGCCCTGCCAAATACAACCCTACCCTCTGCCTGAATCGACCCGCGCCGCTCTTGACGGAAGAAGCAGCTTCGGACACCGAAGGCGCGAAGGTCTTCAGCCTGTCCACCTGGACAAAGAAGAAGCCGACATCCAGAATCCCGACACCAGCGGCCGCATGGCTTCGACTTCCACTGGCAAACTGGGGGCTGCGCGATGCTCTTCCGCCTCACGTTTTTGCAGGCACATGCCAACCCAAATTTCTGCCCTGCGTCTGTTCCCGACCTCGTTCAAGATGCACCCATTATGCGGGGAAGGGTTGCCCAAGGCATGTCCTACCTTAAGGGGGTCGACGGCTTTTCGCCAACGCCTCTTGAAGCCATGCCTGACGTCAAGACACCTCCACCGTCCAGTACAAACGAATACCAAGGACACCTGTGCCTTCTCAAGCAAGCCAGTGCACCCAGTGAACCGAGAAGCACACAAGGCGCTGATCTATACTTCTCCCGTGCTTCGCGACAAAGGTCGTTTTTGAATGATGAACTGTGGAATTTCAGGCTGGCCGACTGCAGGTCCACGTGGCTTCTTCACGGCGCTTTCCCAGCGTCTTTCACGTGTCTTTATCCGAACATGCTCGTGTAGGTCTCAGCTTTTGGTCCTGCCCGAATCCTCGACTTAAAGCCTTTCTAATTCGAGCCTAACATACTCGAATGCTCGAGGTGCTGCATGACTTTGTACCCCGAGCTCCCGACCCTGTCATGGGAGCTGGAGCTTCATCATCTGGCACGTCGTCAGCCTGAACTGCCATCTCAGCACCTGAGATAGAGAAGAAAGGTCTGCACTGAATGCTTGAACGGCCCTTCGTGAGGAGTACACCACGCAATTATTTGGTCAGGGGGGAGTTTCCTACAATTAGGGGCGTTCTTCCTCCCTTAGGTGAAATGTAAGACCCCGAAACCCCATCCACCCTGGCCTGGCTCTGATATCTGATATAGGTATGGTATACCTTTTATACTGAGTAAACCGTGTCAAATGGATTGAACTCTACAACTTTATAATTACACAAAACCTCAACTATGCCGCTTTGCAGCTGCACCCAAGACCCCGCACGCCCGGCGGCGCCTTCTCCTTGACGCTCCCTGGGGGCAATCTTGATCCTCCCAGCCGTGAAAGGGTTGGACTCAATCCGCTGCACGATGGACATGTGAGCCTGGAGTCAGGGCTTGAGGGTGAAGGCGTGGAGGTAATTAGGATGAGGACCCTGGATCATTGCAGCAGGTTACGTCTGGCTGGGTGAAGAAGACGACCAACTTCTCCACCAACTCCTCGGCACTGCACCCGTAGCTGAGATTGCCAACACCCTGACGGGAGCATCAATGACATGCTTGGACACCAACGTGACACTAGCTTACACTTCCAATGTCTTGAGCAGAGAGGCACCGACTTCGGTCACCAAACGCTTATCCAGCCCGAACCTGCCACAGGCTTGCAGGTGAAGGACTGGTTATTTCTCGCGAACAAACAAATCAATGCAATGCCACGACATACAGTATGCGCTCGGCAGCAAGATTGCGCAGGGGTGCTCGCGGCGCTGTGATTGCCATTCTCGAAGACTTGTCATGGGTCAAGTCAACAACCACGACGAACAGCCACGCTAATCCAACATTTGTGATGGCATGTGATGGCAAACTGGCAGGGTAGGCTGTGTTAACCGCTCGCTTGTTGCCGTTGACAGTCCTGGAATATCGTGAACGCCCCCGAGGAGGTCCTGAGATCACGTGCATTGCGCAGAGAGATTCGTCAGAAGGCTCCTCATGTGCAATCGAGCTGCATACTGCTTCTGAAAGCCAAGGTATATAAGTGCCCCGAGCGTTTGCAAGTTCCTGGCTGCGGCACCGTGAATGAAGGGTGATTTGTGTGTCTCCACTCCCAAGCATCGGTTCATGCCACTGGAACGGCCATCGTTTAGTCATCTACTCCAGGGGAACAAATTTGCCAAATCCACATTGACCTTTTCTGCCACGGGCCTCTTGCTGCGATCTGCGCCAACGCCGGGATCCCCGTCCAGAGTGCGTATCCAGCTCGTAAACAGGCCACCGAGCAAAGCCCCTCAGTTGGCGACGCGAGTACATGGACGGCCCGCTTGGTTGATTCCCTTTACATACGCCTCTACGCGTCCATACTATACCACGTGTTTGAGGATGAGTGCCAGCAAATCCATTTAGCTATGTAGTCTGATTCCGCACATATATGCAAACTGCAACACCACTTCAAACGACCGAGTTCTAAACAACAGGTTAATTAAGTACTACAGAGCAGGACCCACAGATTGAGATCAGTGGCTTGATGCAGCACGTTCTGTATACTTCCTCTAAAGTGCACGCTTCATGATCAGTCGCGTGTGCTCCGTCTGAGCCTCCTATCACGAACTGCAACGGAGCTGGTGTGTTTTGATGGGACTCCTCTGTACTTCCGACTTAGAACGGCTTATGCAAGCATGAAGCGGAGTCACAGGTAGAAGCGAGATGCATTACCAAGGAACTTGGGATGAGAAATCCGGCCACCAGCTGTTGATGCTGCCGAGAGCGCGGCTGTGAATAGCAGCCGCCCCTGGAGGAGGCTGCGGTTCTGGTGCCGACAGACATTCTTCCCTTTTTGAGGAGGGGCTGCAGATAGGTTGGGTCTTCGACTTCGGCAACACCCTTTCCACCACACACACGCAGAGACAGATCTCACTGGACAAGAACACTTATCTTGAAGCAGAAGTCTTTCCCGAAAGTTGCTGCCAAACGCGTCCCGCGAAGTTCGACGGCAGCCTGGTAAGGGCACTCAGCTCAAGAAGCATGTGGCCTTGGGTCGTAGTCGAGTGCAGTCCTCTCGGACTCGGTGAAGTACGTCTTTGGAATCTCGGCGACGCGACAGGCTCTGGTCGCTCGTGGTCCGGCAGGTCACAGGGCTTCCGGCATGAAAAGCCCTCTAAAAGCTGATTGAAGTGCATCGCAGTCATTACTTGCCTTTCGAAACCGCCTAACTCAAATTCGAGGAACCCCCTCTCCATTCGTGGAGCCGTGGCCGTAAGACTCGCCTGTGTAGCACGAATTCCGGCATGATGGGTCACGCTACATAGTCGGCTACTCTGTCAACTGAGGCACTGAGTCTGGCGTTGTCTCGTTTTGCGAAGAGGCGACTAAACGGACAATCCATCTATTGCTGACGCATCAGCTGGCGAAAGATCGGAAAGGTTAACTCGCTCGAAGCTACTTGGAGCTGGCATTGGCATCGTAGAAACCCCGTGCTTGGCTGAGGGCGCTCAGACAAGCGGCATAAAGCATAATACCCTCTGGTTGGGCCAGTCGGCTGAGGAATCTGGTTAGCCTTAGCTGGCCATTTCGGAAAAAAGCAGACGGCGAGGACGAGATGCACACGTCGCAGCTTGAAGCTTCGCCAAGGGGCGGTGGCGGGGGCGTCTCAACCCCAGTCAGAAGGATATCAAAAAGCACATACGCTCGAATGGCCAATCCTCGGCCACACGAAGAAGCAAAATTTGCTGCTTTCAATGGGGGCCTGCCGGAACCTTCCCGTACAATTGCTAACGGGACGTGCGCTAAAACCTCTTCCTAAATGCCAGGTTGCGCTGTCGAGAAGTTAGATCGTCACCACCTGGCTCTGAGACTGTGTTGCAATATTTGCAGCGATCACGTGTCAGCTGTCATGCAAACTCCTCATGAAAAGTCTGTGCGTCATGCGCAGCTATCGTCACATATCGCGACAACATTCAGACCCCGAAGAGAGGACGCTACTGCAGCCACACACCCATGCATAGGTCGGCCTATGTCCAGAATTTTGAGCCCGCTTCCTCGCGAAGGGGCAAGCTCAAGTCCTGGAGTCGCATCGTCTGCAGCTAGCGCAGCACCCACACGTCAATGCGGAGTCTCAGAGTTTCTGAGCAACAGGCGATCCATGTTTTTAGTGGTCGCTATAGCAAGGACTTTACGATGCAAGATTGACATTACAGGTCCTATCATTTCCGCAAGACTGCCACTGCCACATCGTCATTGCAGGTGCATGTGTAATAGCCTCGATGGCTGTCCACCATGAGGGTCCGAGCAAAAGTGCGCAAGGCACGCGCGAGCCAAGAGATGCAGTTTCCTAAGCCGCAGGACAAGTCAAAAGGTGCAAGCGTCTTTGGCCCAAGTTTCTTCTTGTCTTCCATGTGCCCGCTGTGTGAGCCGAGAGTCGCATTTGCATCTGACATGTGTCCTAGCAGTACATGGTTTCACTGGTTCAGGCACCAACATGTGATAAGCAAATCTCGTAGCAACAGCCCATGAGTACAAGGTCCTCGAAATGCGTTGCCATCTTGCTTGCCCAATCCCTGATAGTTTTCAAGCCACTCCTTGCATGCAATTTGCCCAGGCAAGGCGAAAGACTGGCGATTAACATGCCAAGTTCCACATGTGCGCACAAAGTCGAGCATGAGGGACCCGGTGCACGCCAAGGCACGTATAAACATGGTTGGCAAACAACACGACCAGGATTTTTGGAAACAGCCTCACTTTTGCTGGAATCAAGCAAAGCATCTACAGATTGGAACTTGCGTTCCGAGAAGCTTCGATTTCCGAAGTTGTGCCACGCTCGCGCGGCGCTTCGAAGCACTTGGGCTCCCGGCCTCTGCCGTCATGCATATCACTGCAGCTGATGAAGTGTAGGCATAGTCCAATTCCGCGAAAACTACTACCTAAATCAACCGAGTCAAGACCCGTGGCAAGTGGACGCACTGCCCGGAAAGGAGCTGTGCAAAAGCCAGCCATTGTCCTTGACCCAGGTAGGGCCGAGGAGCTTCAGAAGCCTTCTCGTCCTTTTCATCATCTGCAGTTGTCTCCGCGGCCCTTTGTCTTGCCTGTATGCGTGCCTCGGGCACGTGCATGGCATCTGCTTCAGCGTTGTCGCATCATGTACTCGTAATTGTATACTGCGATACAAAATGCCAGGAGGTAATATTCAGTACCAAATTTTGACCAAACCATGAATAAGATGAAGTGAGACTAGACTGTAGTAGTGAGGCTGGAATGATCTCATTGCCATGCGGCCTGCAGAGGAGACAGCTTCTTACCTTCACCTGTGGCAGTCGTGTCCTCGGGGACAGAGCGCAGATCAACAAACGTACGCACTCATAAAGCGGTGTTTAAGGCTCAGTTTGCCCCAGTCTAGCCAAACGGATATTGTTGACTGTGCAGCCCAAGGATCTGCACTGCCCTTTGTGTCATGGCTCGCCTTGCTGCCACGGCGAAGCCCAGAATGTTCGTCTTGTCCAGCCCTAAGCTGTGATGACAGCAGCAACAGCAACAACAACAACAACAACAGGACCACACATGCCAGTAGCAATCGTGGTAGTGATATGACCTCACGCTGTGTACTTCCACAGTCATAATGCTTGTGCAGTGGTCCTCCGAGTGGGAGTGTGCGTGTGTGTGTGTGTGTGTGCAACCTCGCGCCTGTTGCCGTGCCTTCGCTGCTGTTTCTCGTGTCTTTGGGTTTCGTGTCTTTAGGTGGGTGCTACTTTTGCTCGCAATCTCACGACGTGTAGTGCTACAGCTTTAGAAGGAAAGTTGGGGACAATATTGAGAATACAGTTGCAGAAAGAAGCGAGAAGAAAATCACGGAGGGAAGAAAGCAAGAGGCACAAGCTGGGCACAAGAGAAAGAACTGACGACGGGACAATGAACATGACAAAAGGAAGGACGGAAAAGACCAGCGCAAAGAAGCAATCACGGAAAAGAGATGAGAAACGCACGGAAGAAAGGAAACGCGAGGAAGCGAATGAACCGAGCGAAACAACAAACAGCCCGAGTAATGGTGCTATACTAGCTGCACTTCTTAGCGTTTCGTTGGTTTTGTGGGCCTGAGAAAACCTTGACATACTTTAGCATTTCCTTCGTGGCAGAGTCCCCCCAAAGTACAGATCTCCGAACTGATCGGCTCTCTACAGGGCGTGGTGTGTTACACGCAGAACAACACTTACTAAATGGCATCCTTTGTTGTTACATTCGCATTCGAACTTGAAACTGAATCTGCTGCTGGGATATATAATTGCAGGCATATCTGCAGGTCGCAAGCTCATCGGAGAAAGCATGTTTTCGTCGTTTTGCTTCCGAATGCCCACTGCCACCACAGAGGTAAACGATGAGCGTTTCAGTGGCACATTTTGACCAGACGTGATCTTGTTCTAAGTGAACAAGTTTAGCACCACTCGAGGACACAGTTGGCACTCCACCAGACCTTGGCAATGCGTACTTTTGCACCCCTGCTACCCTTTCCGTTCCAAGTTCCCAACAGTGTAGCAGTTTCACACTTATCAGCACACCAGCACGTACACAAGCACATCGATGTCTTGCACACATCCTGTTTAGCATCATCATGCTACCCGACATGGCCACGAAGCACTCAGAACGTTTCTGCAAAGCCACAACGAGCCCAAACAGATCTTCGCAGGCAACAGGTCAGAGACATGCGCCGCGCAAAAAATAAATATGCTCCATGCCCCCAGGGACAACGTCCACTAGCTCATGGTGCACAACCTCCACCAACGCACCATGAACCCGACATTCTCCAACGAGAAAGCTTGGAAGTTACGTTCAGGCATCGATCTCAGGCTACTACCTCGCTTACGACGACCGCCTACAGCAAGACGTGTTGCCTCGCTACCCCTTTGGAATGAATGATGTCTTCGCATGCATTCGTGCATCATGCAACCGAGCGACTAAATATTGAACATACCAAGAGCACATAACACACGCATCCTACACGCCAGTGCGCTAAAAGCTTCAGTCTTCAAAGGCTGGTCATACTTTTCCAGTGCTCCACTCCTCTGAGGAAACTAGCTCAGTGAAGTAGAAACATTTCGACATCGACCGGCCTGATGAAAAGAACCTCTGGCACTCATGCCGTACTTCAGGTGCAAAGAGCAAGCTTACTTGGTCCAGGCAGCTCTCCGTCGTCGTGAAGGTCGGCACCGACGTCAATGAGAACCTGACGAGGTTCGTATTGCGCCGTTTTAGGGGAAATCGACTTGACCAAGGCCTGTGGGGGCCAACTCGGAGGCGGTCGGCGGAGCTCGTTCTGAGCCTGACCGGAGCGAGTGCCCGGGCAGAAGGCTCATGCTGCTGACGAACTTCTGGGAAGGACATCAGCGTGTCCTAGCCTCTCTGTACCAGTCGGGAAGGTCGATCGTAACGCCGAACTCGGGAATCCTGACCTTCTGTGTGGGCACTGTTGGGTAGTTCTAGTTTCAGAAGCTCATCTGAACGCGGGGCTGATTCATCGTCCAGCCCGAAGCCGTCTGAGGATGCAGTCGTAGGCCTGCGTTGGCAAGATGCTCCAAGTAGAGAGGCGCAGGGCACAAGATGTCGCAAGGCTGCCGCATGCCGTGACGCCTGGGGATCATGACCAGTACCTGGCGCGTTCCGTCTGCCAATGGGGGCGGAAGCGCTGGCGGCTCCCTGTCTCCACGTGGCTCCACGACCTGCAGTCTCTGCAGCCTGAACTGAACTCTCATCTACATCTCACCGTCTTTATAAGGCCCTAAGATGAGGTTCGCATGGCCACAAGCGAGCTGCTGCCAGGTTGCTGGCGGGGCGGCTCCGAGCGGCTCGTCTCTGGAAGCCAAGTCCGGTGACGCAGAAGCCTCTTTTCTGCTGCTGTTCCGTCGTATGATTATCCTGCCAAGGACGCATACATCGCTTTCCAAGTTGATGTTGCCTGCCCTGCATACTCCTGTGCCTGGCCTCTTCTGGGGTGCTTCCGGCGCCGGCGCTCCACCGTCAGGTATGGGCCTGGGGTGAAACAGAATGCCAAGTTTTGTGCAGAAGGCGCTCCCGTGCCGCTGCAAACAGCAAGATTTCGGGCAAGCTGCGCGGCTCCTAGCGGCTGCTGGCCTGGCATCTGCCCGAAGGGCATCATAGCCTGTTCAGCGGTATCCTATACTTGCCATTGACAAGACATGCAGTGGAGTAACTTCAAACTTTCAAGCCACGCTTTTGGCACCTGCTGCGGCATCATCGACATCTGCGGCATTTGTTGCATGGCCGGGTTTGGCATCATCATCATTGGTCCTCAGCTGCGCATGTGCACAAGCTGCCGCTTCTCTACTCTGTTAATCTGGTATTTCCGAAATTCCTTTTGTTCTGTTGCTCTCCAGACGTAAGGCCTTTCCAGTTGACAAATCCTAGCACGACACGAAGCGCTTTCTCGATGCAACCACTCATACAGCGACGCCCCGGCAGGAAGCTCCAAAAGCTTTTTTTGCCTCCTACATGACTGAGCGAGTCGCGAAGTAGGGTACAAGCTGTCCAAAAGCTTGGGATGCAAGGATCTTGCGCCTGTTAATACTATAGGATTTGTAGTGCAAGGACCGGGCAGGGCCTATGATAACCCTGCCAAGCAACCCTGTGGTAGAGGCATCGGCATCTGTTGCATTGGCATCTGGAATGGCATCCTGTTCGAGACACTTAGCCCGCACATACGTGTGATTGCTTGGGGATAACACTTCTCATGACAATGCCGCTCAGCCACATGCCGAAGGGCGACATTCCTCGGATGCCAAACGTGTCAACATTTGCAGACTCGACAAGACGAAAGTGCACTGGCTCGGAATCCGTTTTCAACGGGGCAGCCTGCCGAGGCGTGCGGCAAGCAACATGCGAGGAAGAGGGGTCAAGAAGCAACATGGACAAACTGAACCTGCAGCCGTGGGTCCATTCATGCCCATGCCGAACATGTTGCCCATGCCCATTCCATTCATACCAAAAGGTCCCATGCCACCCATTCCCCCTCCAAACCCTTTCCCTCCTCCACCTCCTTTGCCAGCTTTGCCTCCGCCTGGTCACGCATGGCAACGATGGTTGTTGCTTGCCTCTCTTGCGCTGTGCCATGCTTGTGCAAGTTTGGCGATCACTACCATGTCTCTTATTTGCTTTGCACTCCCTCAAATCTGTTGTAACAAGAACACCTAATTTTTGACCCTAATTTAGATACCTTTTGTTAACCCAACATATCCGACCCATTTCTCTGCTGCAACTTCAGCATGACCCGGCTCTTGGATCATGCTTCGATGAACTACGAAAATGTCTACGCGTGTCTCCAGAACTGCTCGCCCCCTGCCTCCGCCTTTCTTGCCGCCTTTACGCATCCATGGTGGCAGCGGCTGTCCAATGCCATCTCCCCCTCCTAAGTTCTTCATTCACATTCGCGACCTGAACTCCGTGATTCATGCAAATGCACCTGCGTCGACTTTCGAGTTGACTTGTACCGCTGTTGAAGCCACATGGTCAAAAGCATGTTAGCTGCCTGTTCTCTAGGCTTTAACACCACCTCTCATGCAGTCACGGTGCCGCCTTTCTTTCCGCCCTTTGCCTTTCCACCGCCCATGGCTCCCTACGGGAGCCTGGGAGGCTACGCGGATTTTGAGCCCCATCCTGCATGCTTCGGCGAAACGTAGACAAGTGATCCTCCGAGTCTGGCCATGTAGGGGCTTGGATGAGTTCAGAAAAAGGCTGGGCAGAGCTCGCTGTTGTAAGGGCCAAGGTGAGGTGATCTAAACTCAGCCCGCGTCAGTTTTTTGCACACGGGTCACTTCGATTTGAAAGGAAATTCTGCCACTTTCTTCCAGGTTGGCACACCTTCCCACCGTCTCTCCTTCGGGGTCTCTGTCTCCTGTCAGGGACCATTATTCGACTCAAAGACCCTGCATCCTGCAAAGGGAGGCTTCCAGCAGACCATTCAGCCACGACACGTAGAGAACTATGCGATTGGCTTTGAAACTCCATGGTGTCAGAATCCACCCAGCTTCTTGCCGGACCCACTTCTCTGCAGCCTGTCGCTCCTGCGAGGGATTCGATGCACGGCCGTGGTTCGGGAGTCTTCGCTACACAGAACATTCTGGCAGCCCACCGCGTCCACATAGACGGGTGGTCAAACCGGAGGCAAGCAAAGATCGAGCAACATCCACAAAGATGGGTTTTGGAGGCAGCCACTGCAGCCAACCACCAAGGAGATTACAAACAGGTGTGAGACCCAGCCAGTCAGGAGAGGATTGAAAGCTCGAAAACTCCTACAGTACCTGTCTCTTTGTCAAGGTTGGGCATGGTTGGGCCATTACGCGACACCTCTACGAAAGCCACTGTGCCGGGCCTTAGGGTAAGGGCGGTAAGGGTTTCATAAGGGACATAGGCATGGATAACCGGGTCGCTCCCAAAATGACGGTGCAGTACTGTCAATACTTGCGTGCCACAGTCGCGTTCTGGAGCAAGCGAGCAATTACAGCCCACTGTATTCCTGCATGGCACCTTGTGTACAAGCGGTACCGCGTAGTACCCATTTAGAGTCCGTTTGGCCGCTCGTCGTCCTCGAGGCAGCGTGAGTGTGTGTCTGTGTGTGCGTGCGACAGAAAACTGTGGTTTCAGTTTCTCTTGTCAACACTCACGACTGTATTCCAACATCATACTGCAACGCTTCTGTACTTGCGCTGCTGCCTCATGAATCAAACATTTCGTGTACAAGACGCTATCTCTCAATGACCTAAGACATCGCGGCTCCTCCATGCCATGCGGACCATAAAGCAGAGATCCATGTGGCGTCTTGCTGGGTGCTGCAAACGCAGCTTCCTGCGCAAAGTCCTAACTCGCACCCGCTCTCGGGCAGGGTCTTTTTGGCAACACTTTGTGCGTGCACGTCCAGAACACGAGGGGTTGCATAAGCTTGATTAAAATTGTGCATAAGCTATGAGTTCTTGAATTTTGCACTTCCTGCACCGTGTTTAATGGGCCCCCAACCATTCCCGGCGGCCTGAATAATGTGCTCCTGTGTACCCCGGAGTCAGGTACTGCTGGTGGTGGTGGTGGTGGTGGTGGTGGTGGTAGTAGTAGTAGTAGTAGTAGTAGTAGTAATTAGTAGTAGTAGCAGCAGCAGCAGTGGCAGTAGTAGCAGTGGTAGTAGTAGTAGTAGTAGTAGTAGTAGTCGTAGTAGTAGTAGTAGTAGTCGTAGTAGTAGTAGCAGTAGTAGTAGTAGTAGTAGTAGTAGCAGTAGTAGTAGTACAGTGTGCCAGGAATTATGACCAGCAATCCTGGTCATCTTGCCCCACTTGCCCCACTTGAAGGTGGGATCAAAATGCCCATGTCACCTTCGTCTACATGGTCGACCAGGCGGGCAAGTGGGGCAAGATGACCAAGGCTGCAAAGATGACATGGTCATCTTGACCCCCCCCCCCAAGATGACCAAGGTGACCAGATGGCCGAGCAAGATGACCAAGCTGACAAGATTGCAAGATTCCCAAGAACCGGAACAAATAAAGGTTCAAATTCCCGGCACTAGTAGTAGTAGGCGCCCCCCCCCCCTACCAACTACACTTGCTTAAAACCATCTTAAGTGCACATCCGTTTTACTCGGTATTTACAGCACTTTCGTCATGTACGATCATCATAAGAGGCCTCAAAATCCACTTGCCGAGTTTGCTAACTCGGCCTCTTGATTTTGGACTTGCTGCGGGGGGGGGGGGGGGGGGGGTGGGGGGGGGGGGGGGGG